TCTTACCAAAGTCAGAAAGAGTTTAGGCTTGTGTAAACACGAAATGTGTTAGGCACGTTGTAACCAAGAACAGAGAATAAACGCCCAGCCAGACCGACCAATGTGCTTGTCATTCTCCCATTAAATAACGCAAGATACTACACTGGTGACGAGGATGGGATTCACAAAGTGTTGGTGAAGTCCGTGAAGAGAGGATAGTGACCACTGAAGGGAAGGCTACTCTGAACCTGGAGAATTTAAGTGAAGAGAGCAACCATGGCTGGCGTCAGTGGATACATCGGACGATTGGGGGAGTATGATGCAGACAAGGAAGATTTCACATCATATTGTGAGAGAATGGACTTCTTCTTTCTGGCAAATGAATTAATGGACGACGGTGGTGATGCTCAGAAGAAAGCCCTTCAAGAGAAAAGGAAAGCAATCTTTTTGACAGAGGTAGGAGCTAATGCTTATTCTACTCTGGTCAATCTGCTTACTCCAGACAAACCCAAGGACTCCTCACTGATTCAGATTACCAAGATTCTGAAGCAACATTTTGATCCTGCTCCACTTAAGATCGCTGAAAGTTACAGATTTGGCACCAGAGATAGAGGTAAAGATGAATCAGTAAGTAATTATATAGTAGCTTTGAAGAAGTTATCCATTCACTGTAACTTTGGACAGTTCTTGAACCGAGCTCTAAGAGACAGGTTTGCAATAGGCCTGAATTATGAAAAAATACAGAATAAGTTAATGAACACCACTAACTTAACTTTTGAAAGTGCACGTCAGATAGCTACAAGCATGGAATTGGCCGAGAAAATCACCAGAGAATTTGTTCCCAATGCTGGTAGTGAAACAGTAGTAGTGGCTCAGTGTGTAAAGTAACTGTAGCTAAAAGGAATAAGTATACCACAAAACAAGGAACACATGCTGATTTAAAATGTAAGAGGTGCCGAGGGAAACATGAAAGCTTTCAGTGTAAGTTCAAGAATTCAAAATGTTACAGTTGCCAACATATTGGACATATTGCTCCTGCCTGTAGAAGTGATAAAGGTAGAGTATTCATGAGAGTATTCATGAGAGTGTTAGTAATTTTGGATCTGATAATGATGAGAGTGCCCATGTGTTTACTATTTACACCAGTCGTGAAGGGAAAGTTAAACATAGATATAATGTGGACTTGTGTATTAATGACACATCTGTAACCATGGAAATGGATACTGCAGCTGATTTCTCCATAATGAGTAAAGATATGTATGAGAAACTATTTGCGCATGTGCCTTTAGAAGACTCAGGTGTCAAGTTGAGAACTTTTACTGGAGAGATTTTGAACACAGAAGGTAAATTAGAGTGTGAGGTAAAGTACAAAAATCAGAATTTAAAGTTGCCATTAATTATAGCTAGTTATGTGAATCGACCAACTTTGTTAGGTAAGAACTCGTTGTGTGAACTTGAGATGGACTGGAAGGAGATATTTAGTGTTAGAATGTGTAACAGTATTCCAGGTCTTGAGAAATTGCTTGAAAAATGCAAGATTTTATTTGTAAAGGGACAGGATGGTATAAAGGGTTATGAAGCCCATATCACCATTGACAAAGATGTTACACCCATATATGCTAAGTCCAGACCTGTTCCTTATGCATTGAAAGGTGAGGTTGAGAAGGAATTAGACAGACTTGTGAGTGAGGGAATTATTGTGAAAACCGCCAAGAGCAATTAGGCTGCTCCAATAGTAATTGTACCTAAAGCTGATAAATCTGTTAGACTATGTGGTGATTATAAAGTTACCATTAATCAAGCTGTTGAGGATGAGCAATATCCCTTACCCACATCTCAAGATTTGTTTGCTGCACTAACAGGTGGAACCATTTTCACTAAGTTAGACTTGTCCCAAGCATATGCTCAGGTCTCTGTTGATGCTGAAAGTCAACAGTACCTTACCATCAACACTCATAAGGGATTGTTTAAGTTCAAAAGGTTGCCTTATGGTGTTAAAAGTGCACCAAAGTTATTTCAGTGCATCATGGACAAAATTCTTTTGGGTCTTCCCAATGTGTTATGTTTTCAGGATGATGTCCTTATTGTTGACATTGACATCCAAAATCATGTCAAAACCCTAGCCACAGTATTCGAAAGATTGTTGCCACACAATGTCAGGCTCAACAAGAGCAAATGTTCATTCCTAGCTAAAGAAGTAACTTATCTTGGCTACAAAGTGAATGCAGAAGGGCTGAAACCTGTGGAAGATAAAGTAGGAGCCATAGTAAATTTACCTGCTCCAAAAAAGTCAGTGAATTGAAAGCTTTCCTAGGTATGATACAGTATTATTCAAGGTTCTTGAGTGGACTTTCATCAGTTTTACCCCCTCTGCATGAACTATTAAAGAAAGGGATACCATGGAAATGGAACAGTGCAACTCAGAAGTCATTTGAAGATTGTAAAGCTGCTCTGTCTAGTACTGATGTTTTGGTCCACTCTGATACCAGTAGAACACTAAAGCTTGCTTGTGATGCATCGGGCTATGGATTAGGTGCTGTCATAAGTCACATAATGGATAACGGTGAAGAAAGACCCATTGCATATGCCTCGAGAACTCTTACCCAAAGCGAGAAAAATTATGCACAAATAGAGAAAGAGGCTTTGTCTATCATATTTGGAGTAAAGAAATTTCACCAGTATCTATATGGGAGGAATTTTGTTTTAATAACTGATCACAAGCCTCTCTTGGCAATTTTGGGTCCTAAATCACCTGTTCCTACACTTGCTGCAGCAAGAATGCAGAGATGGGCTTTGATATTGTCGGCATATGACTATGAGATACAGTACAGACGTTCAGATTATCATTCCAATGCAGATGCTTTGTCAAGGTTGCCATGTAGTGGATCAAATGATGGAGTAGAGCCTAAGGTTTATGCTGTAACCATGATAGCAGAAGATTTTCCAGTCACCTCCGGAATGATTGCTCATGAAACTAGGAAAGATGTTGTATTAGGAAGAGTCCTGGAGTATACACTAAATGGATGGCCAGAGATTTGTCCATCCTTAGACTTTCAACCGTATCATTTAAGGAGATGTCAATTATCAGTGTAACAGGGATGTGTGTTGTGGGGTATGAGAGTGTTAATTCCACAGTGTTTTAGAGGGCAAATTTTGAATGAACTGCATTTTGAACATCCAGGTATATGTGCTATGAAAGCACTGGCGAGAAGTTTTGTGTGGTGGCCTAAACTGGATGGTGAAATAGAAATGATGGTACGTGAGTGCTCTGTTTGTCAGAATGTTAGGAGTATGCCACCCAGCACACCTTTGAAAACCTGGAAATGGCCTATCCGTCCCTTCCAAAGAGTACACATTGACTTCTGTGATAAGGGAACAGACAAATTTCTTGTATTAATTGATAGTCATTCAAAGTGGATTGATGTTAAGCACATGTACAGTACTAATGCTGGTAGAACCATTGATGAATTATGATTAATATTTGCCGAACATGGAATACCAGAAGAGGTAGTTTCTGACAATGGTCCTCCATTCCAATCATCAGAGTTTGAAAACTTCATGAGATTCAACGGTGTAAAGCATACACTGACCCCACCCTATCATCCTGCCTCTAATGGTCCAGCTGAGAGATCAGTTAGAATTGTAAAGGAAGCACTTTCCAAGCAGGTAATTCAAGGAACTGTAGGAAAATCAATGAAACACAGACTCGCAAATTTCTTACTCAGATACAGAACCACGCCACATAGTGTGACAGGATGTACTCCTGCAAAGTTAATGGTGAAGAGACAGTTGAGAACAAGATTAAGTTTAGTTAAGCCAAGTCTGTTTGGAGTTGTAGAGAGGAAACAAGCTCAACAAAAGATGTATCATGATAAGAGTTCCGGTGAAAGAGTGTTCAAGGTAAATGATAGGGTGAGAGTTAGGAACATGGCTAAAGGTTATGGTACTGTACATGCAAAGTGGATAACTGGTGTCATTGACAAGGTAGGTGGATCTAGGACATATTTAGTGAAATGTGGTAACTCTTTGAGATATGTTCCTGTGGATCACATCATTCAGGCACATGACGAGATGAATGTAGCACCAGGACATGATGATAAACTTGACAGTTTCAGATGATCGTCATGATGATGATGTCAAAGATGATGTTTCCCAGCTTCCACTCACTGTGTCAACTGATTGTAGTGATGATATGTCTGTCACTGATAATGCACAGAGTGCAAGTGAAACCCCTGTAAAACTTGATGGAGGGAATAGTCCTAGAAGATCAAACAGAGTTAGGAGACCTGTAATTAAATTAGACCTCTAATTATCTGAATTGTGAACAGGCCTTTCAAAACTGTTTAGTTAGGAAGTTATATTTGTTGTGTTCTATTCCCTTCTTCCCTGCCATATGTAATTCTGTAAGTTTTGTTTATTTAGGATTTGTAGCAGCCATGCTCTCTTTTGAAAGGGAGAAATAGTGTTATATAGTGTATGTTTATATGCTGCCTTTATTGAATATATATATATTATATATTATGTTACTTCTTACCAAAGTCAGAAAGTGTTTAGGCTTGTGTAAACACGAAATGTGTTAGGCACGTTGTAACCAAGAACAGAGAATAAACGCCCAGCCAGACCGACCAATGTGCTTGTCATTCTCCCATAAAATAACGCAAGATACTACACCGGTCTTATAACTTGTTACGTTTTTCACTTTCACTAAAAGACAACGTTTGATAATATTGATAGACGACAGTATAGAAATATAAATATATATCAATTACAATATCGGACCAAAACAAACATTTAGTATACGGCACATTTTCTTCATTATCGGACAGTTCACTACAACATAAGAGTCTATGTTTTAAACCTGAAAAATAAGGAATATGAGATACAACATCGACTTCCTGTTATGATGTACTGAGAAATTCTTGTTCTTTCGGAGTCTCAGAAAAGCCGGCACGCTGTTAACTGACATTCTCAGAAAGGCTGTGGTGCTGTTAACTAACATTCTCAGAGAAGCTGTGGTGCTGTTAACTGACATTCTCAGAGAAGGCTGTGGTGCTGTTAACTAACATTCGCAGAGAAGCTGTGGTGCTGTTAACTGACATTCTCAGAGAGGCTGTGGTGCTGTTAACTGACATTCTCAGAGAGGCTGTGGTGCTGTTAACAGACATTCTCAGAGAAGCTGTGGTGCTGTTAACTGACATTCTCAGATAGGCTGTGGTGCTGTTAACAGACATTCCCAGAGAACCTGTGGTGCTGTTAACTGACATTCTCAGAGAGGCTGTGGTGCTGTTAGCTAACATTCTCAGAGTGGCTGTGGTGCTGTTAACAGACATTCTTAGAGAAGCTGTGGTGCTGTTAACTGACATTCTCGGAGAGGCTGTGGTGCTGTTAACTGGCATTCTCAGAGAGGCTGCGGTGCTGTTAACTGGCATTCTCAGAGAGGCTGTGGTGCTGTTAACTAACATTCTCAGAGAGGCTGTGGTGCTGTTAACTGGCATTCTCAGAGAGGCTGTGGTACTGTTAACTAACATTCTCAGAGAGGCTGTGGTGCTGTTAACTGGCATTCTCAGAGAGGCTGTGGTGCTGTTAACTGACATTCTCGGAGAGGCTGTGGTGCTGTTAACTGGCATTCTCAGAGAGGCTGTGGTGCTGTTAACTGGCATTCTCAGAGAGGCTGTGGTGCTGTTAACTAACATTCTCAGAGAGGCTGTGGTACTGTTAACTAAAATTCTCAGAGAGGCTGTGGTGCTGTTAACAGACATTCTCGGAGAGGCTGTGGTGCTGTTAACTGATATTTTCAGAGAAGCTGTGGTGCTGTTAACTGGCATTCTCAGAGAGGCTGTGGTGCTGTTAACTAACATTCTCAGAGAGGCTGTGGTGCTGTTAACAGACATTCTCAGAGAAGCTGTGGTGCTGTTAACTGATATTCTCAGAGAGACTGTGGTGCTGTTAACAGACATTCTCAGAGAAGCTGTGGTGCTGTTAACAGACATTCTCAGAGAAGCTGTGGTGCTGTTAACTGATATTCTCAGAGAGAGCTGTGGTGCTGTTAACTGATTTTCTCAGAGAGGCTGTGGTGCTGTTAACAGACATTCTCAGAAAGGCTGTGGTGCTGTTAACAGACATTCTCGGAGAGGCTGTGGTGCTGTTAACTGATATTTTCAGAGAAGCTGTGGTGCTGTTAACTGGCATTCTCAGAGAGGCTGTGGTGCTGTTAACTGGCATTCTCAGAGAGGCTGTGGTGCTGTTAACAGACATTCTCAGAGAAGCTGTGGTGCTGTTAACTAATATTCTCAGAGAGGCTGTGGTGCTGTTAACTGACATTTTCAGAGAAGCTGTGGTGCTGTTAACTTGCATTCTCAGAGAGGCTGTGGTGCTGTTAACTAACATTCTCAGAGAGGCTGTGGTGCTGTTAACTGACATTCTCAGAGAGGCTGTGGTGCTGTTAACTAACATTCTCAGAGAGGTTGTGGTACTGTTAACTAACATTCTCAGAGAGGCTGTGGTGCTGTTAACAGACATTCTCAGAGAAGCTGTGGTGCTGTTAACTGACATTCTCAGAGAGGCTGTGGTGCTGTTAACTGATATTTTCAGAGAAGCTGTGGTGCTGTTAACTTGCATTCTCAGAGAGGCTGTGGTGCTGTTAACTAACATTCTCAGAGAGGCTGTGGTGCTGTTAACTAATAGAAGCTGTGGTGCTATTAACTGACAGAGCCTGTAGTGCTGTTAACTGACAGGGGCTGTGGTGCTACTAACTGACAGAGCCTGTGGTGCTGTTAACAGCACCTTTATATAAATATTCACCCTCATGAATAACACCAAGTTATTCACCAAGTGAGTCACCATGTTATTCAAGACTTTACAGATTTTACAGATTGCCCCGGAGGGGGCTAGTTTATTGGGCACCCCCTTACATCCTGTGCAAGGTGAAGCGCAGAAGCGTTTACAGTGAACAACTGGGAAGCATGTGGAGTTCATGCTTGCCTTTATGACTCATGCATTAAGGGCGTAAAAGCCTGAAGGGGTCTAACTTTGCTTGCATCTCTCTCAAAGGTCAAGCGCAGGTCAGCTGATTTAGCAAAGAACCAACTCGCTCTCTCACCCCAGGGAGGGCAGTTCACTACTACCACTGGACAGGGAAGCCAGGCACCTAACTCAAGTGTTATCTCAAAGTGCTATTCACAACACGGAGAGACTCACAATATATTCTCTCAGATTATATCTATGTATATACCTGCTTTAGCAATAAACAGAAAACTCCAAGAAGTGTTTACATCAAGCCCTGTCACTTAAGAGTTCCAGAACTTAATTAAAATAATTAGTGTTATACCAAAACAGCTATCACATGCTGTTAACTCACAGAGACTGTGGTGCTGCTAACTGATAGAGGCTGTGAGGCTGTTAACTAACAGAGGTTGTGGTGCTGTTAAATGACATTCTCGTAAAGGCTGTGCTGCTCTTAACTGACAGAGGTTGTGGTGCTGATAATTGACAGAGGCTATGCTGCTGTTAATTAAAATTTCATAAAGGCTGTGGTGCTGTTAACTGACATTCCCTTAGCGATTGTGGTGCTGTTAACTAACAGAGGCTGTGGTGCTGTTAACTGGCAGTAGCTATTGTGCTGTTAACTGACAGAGGCTGTTGTGCTGTTAAGTGACAAACGCTGTTGAGTTGTTAACTGACAGAGGCTTTGGTGCTGTTAACTAACAGAGGCTTTGGTGCTGTTAACTAACAGAGGCTGTTGTGCTGTTAACTAACAGAGACTGTTTTGCTGTTAACTAACAGAGGGTGTTGTACTGTTAACTGACAGAGGCTGTTGTGCTGTTAACTAACAGATGCTGTTGTGCTGTTAAGTGACAGACACTGTTGTGTTGTTAACTGACAGATGCTGTTGTTCTGTTAATTGATAGAGGCTGTGGTGCTGTTAACTGACAAAGACTGCTGTGCTGTTAACTAACAGAGGGTGTTGTGTTGTTAACTGACAGAGGCTGTGGTGCTGTTAACTGACAGAGACTGTTGTGCTGTTAACTGACAGAAGCTGTTGTGCTGTTAACTAACAGATGCTGTTGTGCTGTTAAGTGACAGACACTGTTGTGTTGTTAACTGACAGATGCTGTTGTTCTGTTAATTGATAGAGGCTGTGGTGCTGTTAACTGACAAAGACTGCTGTGCTGTTAACTATCAGAGGCTGTTGTGCTGTTAACTAACAGATGCTGTTGTGCTGTTAATTAACAGATGCTGCTGTGCTGTTAACTAACACAGGCAGTGGTGCTGTTAATTGACAGAGGATGTGGTGCTGTTAACTGGCAGTGGCTATTGTGCTGTTAACTGACAGAGTCTGTTGTGTTGTTAACAGACAGAGGCTGTGGTGCTGTTAATTGACAGTGGCTATTGTGCTGTTAACTGACACAGGCAGTGGTGCTGTTAATTGACAGAGGATGTAGTGCTGTTAACAGACAGGGGCTATTGTGCTGTTAACAGACAGAGGTTGTAGTGCTGTTTACTGACAGAAAATGTAGTGCTGTTAACTGACAGAGGCTGTGATGCTATTAAATGAGATTCTCAGAAAAGGCTGTGATGCTGTTAACTGAAAGAGGCTCTTATGTTGTTTACTGACAGAGGCTGTGGTGCTGTTTATTGACAGAGGCTGTGGTGCTGTTAACTGACAGAGGCTGTTAATTGAGATTTACAAAGTATAGTATGTAGAACCATAAAATGTTCTATTCATAAGAGGTGAGAGGTGGGCGAGGGAGTGCGGGGCGAGGGAATGCGGGAGTCTATCCGCTGACGTGTTAGTCATTTCCTGAATAAGACGCAATAATTTTGTTTCCTGGAACGTAGGATAAGGAGTGGAGAAGGAGTAGGTGCTGACCAAAGAAGGAATGCCGGGAATAGGTAGGGGGAGGGGGAGAAATGAGGGAGGAAGAAAAGAAGATAATTAAAACGAAAGAGTGGGAGGGATAATAATATAGTAGGGTGGTTTTTTAGTTTAAAAAATTTATTGACAAAGCGTGGAGTACAGTTTGCCTATTCTAGTAATTTAGTCAGGTTTTGACACTGAGTGTGGTATCACTTCTCACTGCCACGCAGGACAGAGGTTCATACACAAAGAAATACAACATATTCATTAACAGCTATATATATAGAGGTCAGATTCATGTGGGTAATGTCACTGTTCACCGCCATGCAGAACAGAGGTTCGTACACAAAGAAATACATCATATTCATCAGAGGGTGGTCGGAGGGAAAGGAGTAATATGAACAAGTAAAGCTGAAATAGAAACGTGTGTAGTAAAAGATAAGGAGGAAGAGGAGGGTGAGCGTAGTTGTAGAAGGGGAGGAGGAAGGTAAGTGTAAGAGGCAGGAGAAAGGTTTGTGAGGGAGGAAGGCTCGGGTCATGATATTAGGAGGGGGGTGAGGTATGGTGCGTGGGTTCAGGTAACCGGGGAGGGGGGGGAGTGGAGGACACGTCAGGGTGTGTGTGTGTGTGTGTGTGCTAGGGCACGTACGCACAGTCAGGGGTCTGGAGTTTCTTCACAGGGTAAATGTTTCCGCTAAGTCAGGGTTCGTGAACGTCATCCCCTAAAAAGCATTCATTGATTAATTGAAACATTTTATTTAGCCAGAAAAATACAGATACAGACTGGATAATAATAACAATATTAACATGGCTGAGCCAGATGAGAACCTGAGCTCTCTTTGAGGCACCTGATATATACTATACATTTATCTCAAGGAAGTATTATGTAACATTTAGTATCATCTGGAATAGTACAATAGCATGGTAGTAATAAGTACATCTCATAATGTTACCACGGTTATCACTTCATTATTTATTTATTTTATTATTTATAATTTTTATTTTTATTTATTTATTTATACATACATATACACATACATATACATATACACACACACACACACACATATATATATATATATATATATATATATATATATATATATATATATATATATATATATATATATATATATATAAAATCAACACCTCAACCCACCAGGATTCGAACCTACGGCCCACGAGCCCATGACTGTGACTGGGGAATGCTACCTCTGGACCAGAAGACCACATGCTTTATTGGGCTATATATATATATATATATATATATATATATATATATATATATATATATATATATATATATATATATATATATATATATATATATTAGAGGGGAATTTAAAAACATAAGTATAATGGGGGAGCAGTACAACCTGGGTTGTACAGTAATAAGGTTGAACAAGAGGACAGAGCTTTCAGGATTATGTCTAGTTGGAAATTATGTTTATGGCAATGGTAATTACTTATTTATTTACACGATAATTTCCGATAAAACGGATTTGGTGGTACAATAAAAGCAGGTACTGTAAATATAGTAAGTGTTTCAAGAAGTATTAATACTTCGACAATAGATATTTTTTTAGAGATGATTTAAAGGAAGGGAGCGCAGTCTTTGCTGAGATGGGTGGGGGTAAGTTGTTCCACACCTTCACACCATGATATTTTATGGAGGTCTGGGACTGAGAGGAGTGCATGGGTGGTGGTCTTAGTAGCTCTGGGTGCCTTAAGTTGTATCTCTGATTATTCCGGAACTGTAAGTAATTATTGTCAAGCAAGTGATTGATAGATGCGTAAACAAAGAGGGCACAGCAGTAAGTGTTAATATCCTCGAATTTTAAAAATTTCAATATAGCAAATTTTTCGTTTGTGTGATCTGTTTTTTTCAAGTAGGTCATTGTCCGTACAACTCTCTTTTGTGCAGTAACCAGAGATTGTGTTTTTGAAGAGCCAGAGGCCTCCCATAGTGTGTGACAGTGTATCTGGTGTTGGTAAACAAGATCATAATAGATTTCTTTCATTGCTCTGAGAGTGAGTGACTGTTGAGTGTGATACATGATACCGCACCGTTTATTGATTTTACTGTGAGTGGCTTGTATATGGTTTCTCCAGTTAAGTTTCTTATCAACAACA